TATTCACTGGCTTTCTCTCACATGTAAAGAAAATTTAGTTTTACATCAAGATAATTGGCTTCTAGTAATAACTTTCTCTGGTCTCAAAGATCCCTAATTTTTTCGCTGGTTATTGCCTTGATATCTACGTATACTTTGTAATAACAAGTTGCACATATTCATCACCGGAGGGAGATATAAAACTTAAGAAATCACATCAATAATATATATTCTTTATGTCCATTTTTTTCCAATTTTCCCGTCTTTCGATTATAATATGCTACATATTTCTTCATTACCTTTCCTCACCTCAAGAATACTTGCAATAAATTTCACTCCAAAATTTCTTTTCCAAGAAAAATACTTGACTTCTCGTTGTATCTAGAGGAAAGCATATTCAAATCGTTTCGTGTCTTGTGAAGAATTAAAGTGAATACCATAAGTACTCTCCTTAAAGAAATATCCGAGGAAGTTATTCAAGATTTTTTTCAATCTATGTACTCCATGCATCTTTTTGTACAGAAACCCTCAGTGTTTCTTACAGGAATTTTAAGAATAAATTAATACTGAACCAGTTGTCTTTAAGTTGGAAGAGAAATCTGAGGCCCTAGCTCTCTGTCTCTTTGAGCTCCAGAATTGTTTGCTGAGTTTGGATGCAGTAAGCGAGGCCATAAATGATTGTATAATATTTCATATAAACAAGCGACGCACATGATACTGGAATCAGAAATTCTGCAGTTTCATAGATCCCTCATGGGAAGATAAATAACCTACCTCAAGGTCTGGTATGTTTATCTACATGTCAGCATTGATATTTAATCCGTCGTTTAACCTGATCCGACGGATAGGGTTTTTTTTTGGGTCCTCGGTTCCTTTGTCACGGAGGAATTTGAAATTTCCTTTCTTTCATTATGTATTTTAAGACATGAAACTTTCGACATTGATGATCTCAGCAGTATGCAGGATGATCCTTTATGTATCCTCTGTATGTCATGACTCATTAACGAGAAATCTTAAAAAAAATTCAGATCGTAAAATCCGATGGTCTAAGATTGGAGTCCTTGAGAGGAAAGTGAATGTTTTTCTTTCCTCCCCTCCTCCCTCCCCCCATCACGCGTTCGTGACGAGTGAATACGATCGATGTTTCCTTCATTCTTTTCACGGTCTTATGTTTCAAATTATTTCTATTTGTATCTTTAGTCAATACCCGTTTATCTCATTCACTGCATTGGGTCGCTATTAACTTATTCTCTCCTCACCTTAACTCCTGTGAAAATGTGATTTGTCTCACTAGTGTGGAACAAAAATGTATTGTTGTAAACAACAAATGTATTGTTGTAACCAACGGTTTGGATTTGTTTTACTTTTCATTTGCTCCATCAAGCCTTGAAATCTTTCTTGTTCCATTCTGATTGCTTCATGTCGATTTATTTCTTCTCTTTGTTTCTTCTCGATTTGAATCTGCTCGTTCATGTATTGAGCATGTATGTCTGCTGCCTCATTGTACAGTTCTTGAAGTTCAGTGATGCATGATTCAATTCAATTTCTTCCCCTGTTAAGTGTATGGTATAAATGTCAGGCGTACCCTCAACTGTATTCCAGGCTTCATTGAGTTCAGCGAAAGTTCTCCTCACAGTATCGATACCTTTGTTTTCCTTGATGGACTTTAGGAATTCGTTCCGCTTTCTTGTAAAACGTGTTTTAGCTGAGGTCCTTATCTTTTTTGCCTCTTCAGCCATCTCTTCTCCTCCAAAATGGATTTCGATGGTATTGTTGTAAACAACAAATGTATTGCTGTAACCAACGGTTTCAAACTGTGTTCTTAATATCTGTTAATACACATGTGCGTTCGAAATCTATAGCAGAAATACACAGCAATTATGATGAGTAAGGATTCTACTAAATTGCAATTCCATAGAAAGGAAATATTTACCCAATGGTTGTCCTCAACGTTCGTTGAGTCTCATGCACGATCAATTAGTGATAGTTTCGTTTTGTAATTGTTCAATTATAGCTTATTAAGGTTATTGCGTTTTCACGGGTAATTAATTAATCTAGAGTGAAACAAAAAACGACGCACTTGGTAACACCAGCAGTATTGAAGAAGCTGAATATGAGCTCATCGAACTCGAAACAGAAAATCGTGTATCATTGTTTATTTCGTGATCCATGATTCTATTTTGTAGCTATGACGCTGTTTCACTATTTATACGCCAAGTTGAGACTGGACCTCACATAACATCGGTTTTCATTTTCATTAATCCGGAATGGTTGTTCAACCACCGCCTGCTTATGTTGTAGGGCGCCGGACTGCCGTGCGTGACATCGAGGGTTCAGACCGGACCAACACTCTTGAACGGACCAACACTCTTGAAAGGACTGGGGAGAATGAGCTGACTTTGCTATGACATCTGTTAACTGTTAGACGTTTTAGTCTTCTCGGAACAGGATGATAAACTGCAGGCCCCATTTTCTGCATCTTCTCAGCACTGGTTAACATGGAACGTAAGGAATCCTCGCACTTTTGGCGAAAAGTAGAGAACGCTGCTCCCAGTGTTGTGGTGTGGCCTTGTTTGAGGGTCTGAATGATGATAACTGACAACTGACAAATCGCTGAAGATCTAACGGACAATTGACATTTGTGGTGCACTTTTAATGACAGCTGACAAAAGACCGGATCGCCCTAAATATCCTAAAAACTGGTTGCAAAATAAGGGCAGTTGATTTATTTTTTCCAATAAAAGTATGTTTTTTTGTTACATATCAGTAGGAGTACGCCAGAATGTCATATTTCGTTAATATCACCGCATGGACCATCCACATCAAGGCCATATGTCACATATCGGTTATACGATATTTGACACTCAACTCGGTCGTCAACTTACGCGATGACCGTATTTTAGAAGCTGTTGTAAGCTTTTATCGAATTGATTCAGAAACGGCAATTGAGAGTCACAGAAGCCGCCTTCCTATTAACGATGTAAACACCGTACTGGCGCTGAAAAAGCACCTTAATTCGTTCCTTGGTCTAAAGGAGTTGTCCAGTAAATATGGCCTCGGAGATTTTGATGTGGAACTTTATCACATGGCTACTTTTCAATTTATATGCAGTCTTTCTGACGATCTTCTTTCATATGTTGCGATAGGGGAAAAAGCAGAGACTATACTTTCATCCCTACAAGCCTGTTTCGTGATTGCTCACTCATCAGGGAATTTTATTGTTAAGAATATTCGTACCATCGTTTGTATACTCTATAAATTTGCATAAAAATAATACTTCAATTGTTACGCAGTAACGTTTTGTTTCTGTGGTGGCATGAGGACATGAGCTCATTACGTTTACTGAGTGATGATAATTCGGGTCGGCGAATAATGAGTAATTTTTCTTTGAGGCGGAGGTTGCATCCTTTGTTTGCGCTGTTGTAGGGCGACCTTGATGAAAGGATGCGCCATGAAATAAAGTGGTCAATGTTACTTTCTTTAAGGGTCCAGATATGCTTGCTGAGTTCGGTAGAGTTTCTGAGTTTTGTGTGTTAGATTAGCAGTTATAGAGTCAGAAAATGTCGAAGTTTATCTTTCATTCAATAAACCTATAAAAAGAAATGGGCAAAAGTTATTAAGCGAATAAGACTTAGGCGCGCTCATTACCTCAAACGACAGGAAATGGGTTATGCAGGTTGATGCAGAAATTTTCTTCCCTTTGTTATTGATTTCCTCTTCCATTCTAACAAAATGCCGAGCGACTTGTTTCATTGTTTGACATTCAAATGTTAGTTCATTGTACTTAGATATTAAGTAAACAGTCTAATTGGAGTGACTAAATAAAATCATGTAGCTCCAACTTTCTAGCTCGTTCTGAGCTTCTTTAAATGCTTTGAAGGCCAGTAACTAAAATTGAAATAAAACTTCTCGTTTTGCCTTTGGACGATTAGTTTAAACAATATACTTAAAATGCATCGTTCTGCTTGTAAAAAATAACACATTTATTGCATTCATAATCAAAGGAGAAATCTCAGAAAATTAACTAATACTAAGACTAAATCCTGGCCATTACGGCAAAAATCTGTCATTTTAAGTCCAGATAAACTAAATTCTGATAGGCAGAATCTAATTTTAAGTACCAACGACTGGGTACAAATCCTCTAAAAGTTAATCAAAATTTCCATCTGATGTAAACTACGATAATCGAGCAATCAGACAACTGACTATTGTTCAATTTCCATGGAAATTCTCCACACATGCACATCTTTACATCACTCATGAGACAAAAACCGATTGAGAAAAATCTGTAAAAAAAACTGTGGTAAACGTTTTTAAGACGTTTGTACTTCGACGTAAGCGTAACGCCTTAATCCTCTTAGTAGGTAATACTTAGATTAAAAATAACTTTTTACATAGCTAGTCATGATAATTTCAAGACATCATATGAAAAATAAAACAGTAGTTTCAGCGGATATCAAAGATGAAGCTCGTTAGAGTAGTTCAGACTAGCAAATAGTCAACTTTTGAATCAATGGAAATCCGTTCTCTTGTTAAACTTGACTTTGGCCGTCTTTTGGTTCTTCCTGCTTTGAAAAGAAGACTCTTGACAAAGATTTCATCGGTAGCTTACTGGTTTATGGTCCAAATATCAGGGTTTGCAGGTATCCTAAAACTCCTTGGGATTCCAATGCTTACTGCCTTAACTGAAAAATAAAAGAATCTAAGTTTAGGGAGGATAGTCGAGTGGCCATGAAATATTTCTTAGCACATGCGGAAACGATACATTTCTCAACAGGATTGTTTTAAAAAAATTTGCTCTTTTATTCCTATCGTGTTTCCTAAAAAGAATTTTATCATCATAAACGTGTCCATTTGATTGTGCTACATCTCAATTTTCCGGAGCGAAAAATAAATTCGTAACCCAACTGAAAGGAAAATAACACGCAAGTATTACTGCTCACATCTAAGCAAAAATTATGATTTAATGTGACTTGGTATTGAATAGAATGTATCAACAGAATTATTACCTACTGCAGCTTCTAAATCTCCTTGAAATCCAGGTTGACGTCATCACCGATGAGTACAAATGGTGCCCAGCAAAAAACCTCCTTGAATTTTTCAATTTCTCTCATACACTTCATGGCCTGATTGAGAGCTTCACTGGCCTTCTTGCCTTTGGCAAGTGCACCGTAGAAGAAACTCATGAACTCCAGGGTTTCCTCGTCGCCAATCGCCCACAAGGTTGCCACAACAGATCTGGCACCGGCACCCAAAACTGCACGCGCCATGCCGACCACACCCTCGGCCATGACCTCCCCACGAGCAGTGTGACAGCAGCTAAGTACAACCAGACGTGCTCGCAACCCAGCTTCTATCACGTCTTTCATCGTCAGTAGATAGTCTTTTTCTTGCGGCTGAGGGTTTTCCCTTGTGGTGTTTGGTGCCAGGATAACTTCTCCAGTTTCCATTTTACCGTGCGCTGCAATGTGAACTAACGCCACTGACGATATTCGTTTTAAGACTTCGTGTTTTGTTGCCATTTCTCCAGTGAGGAGGGGAACATTGAGGATACGTCCGATCATCTCCACTTCTTTCCTTGCTCCTGGAAGTTGCACCAAAAGTCCTCCCTGATAGATGATATGTTTGAAACATGGGTCGCCGACAACCAATGCACCAGTCTTCATATGAAAGTCAGCTGGACAATCATGAATTAGTTGCAACGTCGTCAGAGAGGGAAGCACACGAATTCTGAAAGAATCACTTAGATATGATGTGTTGGAGTCCTGCAACGCTGCATAAGGTACAAGGCAAAATGGCCCCTCGGGAACGAATGTTAGCTCGTTGCCTTCGATCAGATCAGCAATAGGAGTAACGATGATGTCATGCAGCTTCTTTAAAGCACTTGATTGGGAGTGCCTCACATCAACTCGGATCACATCATTGAACACTTCCTCTTCTGTCGGCGAGTCACGAGAAAGATTTTCGATTGTAACAGTATCTCTTACACCGATCTCCTTCAGAGCAGTTTTGTTCAATAGCTGGATGAAAACTTTCAATTCCTTCTCATACTTATAATTGTTGACGTGTACTTTTTTCATCTTGATATTATCTTCACTGAGGCAAACCCAGAAGTAAACGCATGGTCCATTAATAGCTATGAAAACTGTGGTCAATGAAACCAAACTCAGAGATGCGCTGTGCGTTGAAGAATCTCCAGTCTGATATTTTGTGGTCATGAGATCTCTCAGAGCTTGAGAACGTCCTTTCTCTGCGGCAAGAAGAGCCTTCACAACTTGACCTTGATTGAGATTTATGCACCACAAACCTTTGTATGCACTTTGGTGCTGATTACGATAAGAAATCTTCCACTGATCATTGAGTTGAAGACTGGCCCTGATATCTTCATACAACTGTACACTCGAGTGATAACAAGCAAAGGCCATCATAAGATTTCCTTGGCACTCAAAAATGATTCCAAGGGAACAGAGTGAGCACGCCTCTCCAGTCTTGTCTCCCACCTCTTTGGATATTTCTAGGTGACGTTCATAGCACTCGATTGCCGTTTCTAACTCTCTCTGACGAAGATGAATCCCTCCGAGAAGGCAATAACTTTTTCCTTCTCCATCCTTGTCTCCCACTTCTTTAAAAATTTCTAGACATCGTTGATGGTATTCGATTGCTGTACTGGACTGTCCTAGACATTCATAAGCGCAGCCGAGATTGTTATAACTTCTTCCCTCTCCTGCCTTGTTTCCCACTTCTTTATCAATATCTAGACTACGTTGATGGTATTCGATTGCTGTTTTGAACTTTCTTAGACTGTGATAAGCATTGCCGAGACTGCTATAACTGCTTCCCTTTCCTGCCTTGTCTCCCATTTCTTTAGCAATTTCTAAACTACGTTGATGGTACTCGAGGGCTGTTTTGAACTGTCCTAAACCTCGATAAGCGCAGCCGAGATTGCCATAACTTTTTCCCTCTCCAGCCTTGTCTCCCGCTTCTTTAGCAATTTCTAGACATCGTTGATGGTATCCCATTGCTGTTTTGAACTGTCCAAGACTGCGATAAGTGTTGCCGAGATTGCCATAACTTTTTCCCTCTCCGGCCTTGTCTCCCGCTTCTTTAGCAATTTCTAGACATCGTTGATGGTATTCCATTGCTGTGCTGAACTGTCCTAGACCTTGATATGCGTTGCCGAGATTGCCATAACTTCTTCCCTCTTCGGCCTTGTCTCCAACTTCTTTAGCAATTTCTAGATCTCGTTGATGGTACTTGATGGCTGTTTTGAACTGTCCTAGACCTTCATAAGCGCAGCCGAGATTGCCATTACTTTTTCCCTCTTCGGCCTTGTCTCCCACTTCTTTAGCAATTTCTAGACTACGTTGCTGGTACTCGATTGCTGTTTTGAACTGTCCTAGACCTCGATATGCGTTGCCGAGATTGCCATAACTTCTTCCCTCTTCGGCCTTGTCTCCCACTTCTTTAGCAATTTCTAGATCTCGTTGATGGTACTTGATGGCTGTTTGAACTGTCCTAGACCTTCATAAGCGCAGCCGAGATTGCCATTACTTTTTCCCTCTCCTGCCTTGTCTCCCATTTCTTTATCAATATCTAGACTACGTTGATGGTACTTGATGGCTGTTTTGAACTGTCCTAGACTTTCATAAGCGCAGCCGAGATTGCCATTACTTTTTCTCTCTCCGGCCTTATTTCCCAATTCTTTAGCAATTTCTAGATGACGTTGATGGTACTCGATTGCTGTGCTGAACTGTCCTAGACCTCGATATGCGTTGCCGAGATTGCCATAACTTCTTCCCTCTCCGGCCTTGTCTCCCACTTCTTTAGCAATTTCTAGATCTCGTTGATGGTACTTGATGGCTGTTTTGAACTGTCCTAGACCGTCATAAGCGCAGCCGAGATTGACATTACTTTTTCCCTCTCCTGCCTTGTCTCCCACTTCTTTAGCAATTTCTAGACTACGTTGCTGGTACTCGATTGCTGTTTTGAACTGTCCTAGACCTTGATAAGCACAGCCGAGACCGCAATAACTTCCTCCCTCTCCGGCCTTGTCTCCCACTTCTGTAGCAATTTCTAGATGACGTTGATGGTACTCGATTTCTGTTTTCAACTTTCCTAAACCTTGATAAGCGCAACCGAGATTGTTATAACTTCTTTCCACTCCAGCCTTGTCTCCCACTTCTTTGACAATCTCTAGACTACATTGTTGGTACTCGATTGCTGTTTTGAATTGTCCAAGACTGTGATAAGTGTTGCCGAGATTGCCATAACTTATTCCCTCTTCGGCCTTGTCTCCCACTTCTTTAGTAATTTCTAGATCTCGTTGATGGTACTTGATGGCTGTTTTCAACTGTCCTAAACCTTGATAAGCGCAGCCGAGATTGCCATAATTTATTCCCTCTTCGACCTTGTCTCCCACTTCTTTAGCAATCTCTAGACTACATTGTTGGTACTCGATTGCTGTTTTGAATTGTCCAAGACTGTAATAAGTCTTGCCGAGATTGCCATAACTTATTCCCTCTCCGGCCTTGTATCCAATTTCTTTAGCAATTTCTAAACTACGTTGATGGTACTCGATTGCTGTTTTAAACTTTCCTAAACTGTGATAAGCGTTGCCGAGACCGTAATAACTTCCTCCCTCTTCGGCCTTGTCTTCCACTTCTTTAGCAATTTCTAGACTACGTTGATGGTACTCGATTGCTGTTTTGAACTGTCCAAGACTGTGATAAGTGTTGCCGAGATTGCCATAACTTCTTCCCTCTTCGGCCTTGTCTCCCACTTCTTCAGCAACTTCTAGAAGACGTTGATGGTACTTGATGAGACTGTCATAACTGTTTGCTATGACTTTTAGTTCAGCATCAGACCTCCTCATTAATTGAAGCAGACGTTCGTTATTGTTGTCAATCTTTAAGCGTATTAAGGGTAGATAAATCATGAGCAGATTTGCGAAAAATGCAATGGATATGTGTATTTTGAAAATAATGAGAGTGTTGGGTAGAACCTTAAAAATGAAATGATCATTCGAACGTGGGTTTCTTGTAGAGATTTAATTTCAAGTTATTGGAGGGTGTTTACTAGCTCTGAAGCGTCATTATTAGTTCAGGCCAGGGCGTCTCGGTGATGCTCGTGTGGAGACAAAAATGAGGGACCTACAGCACAAACTCTGCGAATTACTTACTATGAACTCTTCTTTTAAATAAAATTTTTGTGGAATAATCGAAAGAACTCCTTAAGAATATTTAAGGTTCTTTAAACTACTCACTGCATTGTAAGAGAGCATCGCTTGCTTTATCAGTGTAGAAGAATCTGTCGAGAACGTATTAATTTTCGCATTGCATCTCGTATCACGTTTGAAACATTCGTTAAAGGATACGTCCAATCCCATATGCAGCCAGCTCCTTGCTTCTGTATACAAGCAAAGTTCGACACAGGCTCTGGCTCCTGAAAAGGAGAGAATAATTGGTGGTGCGAGGTAATTTATCTGAGTGTTGATCCGGTCTAGGGCTTTAACACTCGACCTCCAGCGCTCTACAACGTGAACTAACCAGGCGGAGGTATTTAAGGGCTTATTGACATCTTCTTATGTTTTTCACCACATAACAGACATTGACACATCAGATATACAATTGTCACTTGGGGTGCAGTCACCTGCCGCAAACAAACACAATCCTCTTTTGACGAAATCAGAGAAAAGAATGTTGAACACTCACGATTGAAAAACCCACCTTTCGTAATAGCTTTGATTAAAGTGGGTTCCAACTGAAAAGCAACTGTTGCATCATCGAGACATTCCACGTAGTTTGCTGTTAAATTCAAGAAATAAAGTTTAGAGAAGTGGTCAAAAGACGCCTAAAAAAAAATTACAATTGAATGAATAGCACTCCATTTACGAGGAACATTTCTTTGCTTAATTTTGTCTGCTAAAGGGTGATATCTCTCTCTATGCTTCTTTCCTGCAGTTGCTCAATTTTTTTCTTTTCTTGATTCAGATTGTGTATTCCGTTATCTTGTAACGCTGCATGAGAGATTGATATGTTTAGATATGAAATTGTTACCTAAACGGAAATGAGCTGTTGCCCTGTTGCTGTAAAGCTTGGCGTTCAGCCGTTTATCTTTGCAGTTCACTTGAAGTCCTTCCGTGTAGGAGTTTATCGCATTATTAGCTTCTCCTTGTCTGTATTCTTTGTTACCTTCCTCGAGACATACTTTCGCTGTCCCTGAAAACACAACGTATTGGTGTTTAGGATTAAGTAATGAGTAATACGACTCCAGAGGGATGATGCCAACTTTATACTTCCAAACGAACTGTTAGGTTAAAGGAGCTTAAAGCTATGAAAAAAAATCAGAAAAGTTTAATATTTGTACATTTTGTTTAAGTAAAATGTGCAAGCTGTTGGGAGTCTGGGCTGTAGCATCACGGGTTTTAGCTATAGCTTGGCTTTAAGCAAATCAAGTCTGTTCGGTTTACATTTAGGTCGAAAGATTTTCCAAAAACCCTTTTACACTTGGCTTACGATTTCCAAAATATCAAATTAGAATAAAAAACCCCATAAGTTATTGCATAAAGCAAAGCAAAGCCAGAAACGAAAAAGGTTAAAACTTGTGAATGTGATAAAAGCGATCCTCGTAGCTATCAACACTACTGAACTATTTGTTGAAATAAGACCTGAAAAAATTTTCAGGCCCGTACGGGATTTGAACCCATGACCTTTGCGATACCGGTGCAGCGGTCTACCAACTGAGCTGACAAGCCAACTGGGAACTGGTTGTTATGTTGACTTTTGAATGTTCTGATATAAAAAAAACATCGTGTTGAGAGCGACAAGGGTTCGTGGTTTTCCCATCGTTCAGAAAAGTGCGCTTGAAAAAAAAAGAATTTTTTTGTTTCATCACTTGGTTTTTCTCATACATGTAATGATTGTCTATTGAGAACACACGCGTAGAGGCTAACTGAAGTAAAATTTTATTGGGAGATTGCCATTTTCCCGCGAAGTGCCATTTTGCCTGTTGTGAAAGGCAGCGGTTCTACATTTTATTAGCTGGTGGTTTACAGCGTGGGCTTGGTGTTGACATAACTGTCCAAAGAGGCGCGAAATATTTACAACACCGAAAGAGGCGATACGGCCGAGACAAAATGCTTCCTCTTCTCTGTAGAATTCTAAAATTGCGTAAAATTTTTGCCAAACATGTATTGAACAATAAGGGACAAAAAGGTGTTAGCGTAATTTTTAGTCAAATACTTTCGTCGTGGCGGCCTCAAAAAGTTATCCGTTTGCAAATTTTTCAATACTCGACTTTGACTGGTCTACTGGTGCCAGCAGCTCTTTCTCGCCGAGTTTTTTCAAAACTCCGTCGTTGATTTAGAAGTAAGTACTTCTAAAACTCAGAAAACTGAGTTTTACGAAGCCTGGTTGGCCAATGTTGGCCCATTCTTTTTTAATTTAGGGCTCCTCAAAGCGAACTCGCTTTCAAATTTGCTGCTTTATTGGTAATGAAAAATTTATGTCTACGCATTCTGCTCGATCGGATCGAGCAATAAATTGTTTTTTCCTCAGTTTTTTTATTTTATGTTTCTGGTAACAAAGTTTGAAATTTTAAGAAACAATCTTTTGCTGTTTCAAAATCTTATTTACAGAACATACGAAAATTTTGATGTAAATGTGACAAAAATTTCACTGGGACGTGTTTCAAAAAATCTTTTTTCACCTGGTGTTCTTACCTCTTAAAGGGTCATTGCAGACATCCAGTTCAGCCTCACTTGACGAAACTTGACTTTCCTCTGTCGCTGAAATTACCGTGAAGATATTTCAACTTTGTTAGTGATCACAACCATGTGCAATTACAATTAGCGTTCTAATACTAGCGTGTTTAGTGGATTCCTTAAAACCTTCAAGTCGAAGCGATCCAATCAATTGTACAGCAGAATTAAGATATACTTATCAACAAACAGTACAAAACCACCATAACCAAGTCTTTCCTTGTTGCTTTTTCTCACCTGTGGCTGGAAACTCATTTTTCACCTCCAGTTCTTCTCCCGTTGATGGGAGGTTGCTTTCTGCCATAGCTAGAAATAAAATTGAATCGGTTTTACTGCACTGTATTGTAAAAAATAAAAAAAAGGGGACTCAGATAAAAGTAACTGAAAGAAAACTTTGTATACTTAATCATATTATGGTTAATTACTTAAGTGTATAACTGAATCATATATTATTGTGGTTTCGTGACTGCTCCAGTCAAGTTTCGCGGGTTGTGTCATGTTTTTTTTTTTTTTTTTTTTTTTTTTTTCAATTGTTTGTCTGTTTGTTTTCGTAGTCTCATCTTTTGAATCGTCGTTTAGGGCTGTTCCTTATCAAAATTCGTAAGTTGCAATAAACAACCTAGTTGTAGCCGGTAGGCATGGATAAGCATGGATAAAAAATAATGCAATCAAAGACTTTCTCTCATCCCTTCATTTTATCGCGTTTGTGAGGCTGGGAGAATTCACGAAACTTATTCGAAACCGAAACACATTCGAAGGTTTTCGTAACCGTCACGAATTCTACCAACACCCCGCGAGCCTCGCTATTGCGTGAAGAAACACGTGTATCAACCCTGTTCGTCACCAAAGTGCATGCGTAAATCTCCCTCAAATCTGTCGAAAATTGTTGGACAAATAACCTCCTTCATTCAATTTTTTAGAAGGAGCCAGGAAATTTCGAATAGCTGGAAGTAGCTGGCCCCTTTCCAAATTATGTTGGGAAAGGACCCGATTTTTTCATTTCGAATTCAAAAAAGGCACTGAATACTAGGTTATCTGAGGGACTGGAGAAGATGGCACTGGAAAGTGTCCTATTCATCAATACTCTTGTTATTAACGAACTTCATTTACAACAAATTGAAAGCCAAACGCAACACACAGACTCCTGCATAGCTTAATCTTGTAGGCCATCGAATAAATTCACTGCCAGGCCATATGAGCATTTGGCGGAGGGAGTAGACTGAAAGCGAAATGAAACTGAAAAAAAAAACAAAAAAACAAAAACAAACATTTGGGTATCGCAAAGCAAAAGAGAACTTTAAAATTATTTGTGAACGAATTGCTGATCAAAAAATAATATTTTTCAATATAATAGTGAATGGCAAATTTAGGAAATTTCCGTGAAGCTGCTGAGGTGGTCTTGCCCTACAGTACAGGATTCTGCTCCAATATCAGCATTTACTGAGCCCACAGTTTTTCTTCCAGCGTACGATGTAAACACGCAAATATTGTGTCCATTTAGTCAGTCATCGCGCGAAAAGGTATATCTACTAAAACCGAACTCTGACAGATAACCAGTTAGAAGTGATACTACTAACCACCCTTGTAGATACGTAGTTCGAACATTTGAAGACAAAAATTTATTCACCGTCGACGATAACCGTGTCAAGTTTCGCGAGGAGGTGGATCGATGTTCCAAAGCGTTTAAAAAACCAGAATAATTAATCGTGTCGTTGACGGGGTTTCATTTTCATACGTGATCAAGAAATCGTGGTCATAGTGTTTCTGGTGTTGAAATTTTCTCTTTTGCTAACACGTTTTCCCTATTTCTCTGCTATTTATACGATAAGGTGAGATCCGAGAGTGCAAAATTTGTTTTCTTTGGATTTTCACTTTGATTCCCCACAAAAAAGAAAAAAGAAATGCTTGTAGCCTGTTAAATACTTCATATCATGTCGTAACTAAATAGTTTATTTTTGTCACATGAACAATAGCTTTTCGAGCATTTTTGGCTAAAACAGAAGTCACATATTCGTCCTAAATTACTACAAACAACAACAAAAAGCACAACGAAACTCGCAGATTCATTTGGTAATTTAATGGTGCATGAAAATATTTTGTTACCATGTAATACATCCTTTGATCCTTCGGTCCTTAAAATGCAGTGAGGGAAGTTGGCTGATGTACAGCCTTCTTAAGCTCACCTTTGTACAGTATTTCACATGCATATATGAGGTATTAGATAATCGTGCGTAGTACGCATTTTACCATTGAGTGTTTTACATCTTTTACACCTTCAAAGAGATAATTCAATTCAAGCAGATAAATTCTTATCGACAAGCGGGCATGTATCAACTTTTTTATTCAAAAGTACTGATTGCAAATTTGAATGAAATACAATTTTAAGTAAGGGCATCGAAACAGAGATCCGCTGCAGCGAAATTCAGCTCGCCGGAAAACCAATTCAATTTCGGACATTGTAATACAACAATTTCTTATTACAAGAAGTATTTCCTTAAAAAAGAATTGAATTCAGCTTCAGGAAAAAAAGCCTTCATGGAAAGTAAAACTGTCATGTTTATAAATTCGGTTCTAATGACGACTTTGATACCTTTAAAGGTGAAGATATAAATGGTACATTTACAGCGTGCGGTGGAGATGTCACATTTTGGAAACTGAAAAAAAATTGTGGTATTTCACCGACAACCATATAACTGTTATTATTACTATATATCGCTAATGTTACGATATCAAAAGAAACGGAAGGATCGTGTATTTTTGTTTATTTTTTCAATCTCAAGCTTTGTTTCAAACTTCGTTTGTTTTCGAGAGATATTTGTTGGTTTTGATATTGACGCGAGCTATAATTATATAAAGCACGTTATCGAGCTCTGTCATACGCTCATCACGCGCTTCTGCAGCATAATCATCATGTACAGTTAAACCTTTAACTCCCGTGATCTATGATGATTTTAGATATATGAAAATTCATATATTTGCACTGCGGTGGAGAGATGAAATTAAGAGATCCTCGCAGCTAGGAACACTACTGAAACGAGTAGTTGTAAATAGGACCTGAAAATCCCGTACGGGCCTGAATTTTTTTCAGGTCCTATTTACAACTACTTGTTTCAGTAGTGTTCTTAGCTGCGAGAATCTCTTAATTTCATCCCGTGATCTAATTGTTAATTCTCCCTTCTAGCTACTACATGTTTCATTTCAAAGTAGATACGGAAATTTGGTGTTACTTCAAAGATAACGAATTCTACCAGATAAAAATCTGAGTATTCTCTTTACCTGTTTGCTGGATAATGCATCGATATTACAGGAATAATTTACAAGTTATATCACTTCTAGGAGTCTAAGGCTTTAGGAAATTGCATTGCGCGGAAACTACATAACCAGGAGTCAAATTAGAGAAACCAATGAAATATTTTAACATCTGACAATAAACCGAAAAAGTTTTACTGAAATTAAACTTGATTGTTGTCATCCGCAAAAAACATAAGATTGACATCTTTCATTATAAATAACATGGGCTCTAAACAGCTTTAATCAGTTGCAGAATGAAAATTGGTTTGTACCTGTTAAACTGTCATCCTCTGAATCCTTTTATTCTCCAAACGATGTCATTTGTTAATTCTAAATGCCTGAAAATATTAAGCATAATATTTTGCTTTACTACGATTTCGATGAAAAAATCGAAAGGTTACATATTCACGAGTTTAAAAGATCTAACCTCATCTAGTGCCCAGTTTCGTGATCAAAATTGTTCGTCTTCTTCAAGAAATTAATTGCGTTTGTTTTTTGTTTGTTTGTTTGTTTGTTTTATTCTTTTTATGATTACAACTTGTTTACATGTTTCTGCATGACGATTAATTAATTCTATGATTTAAATTCAGCTCTTTCCCTTTTAGTGCAAAACACTGTAATCATAAAAAATCCCTTTTCTCTTCAGAGATGTTGCTTTCTCTACAAGCAGCTATGTGCTATTTCGTCTATTATATAAACACCAGACGCCTTTACAGACAACCTTTAAGGCGACTTTATTACCAACCCAATAAAGTGTCGCAAAAGGCGAGTGATACGCAGCAACTGATTGACGATATCAATCAGCGTATTTTGTATGATAAACATTTTTTTCAGTCATCCTTCCACGAAAAAGCGTTACGATTTTCTCAAATTTTCATTTTCTGCTTTCACCGTGACAACTTCATAAAGTTTCTAAAAATAATAACGGCGAACTTTGTTCTTGTAAATAACTCCTGCCAATTCTGCACTGAATATTTTTGCATTCAAAATCGTAAGTGTCCAGTGAAATTCGGCGGCGCTCTAGATCTCATCCCTAACAATCAGTTTTGGAATAATAAAATCTGTTCCTTCCTAATATGAAAACGATGCTGATTCACACAATTAAGATGGGTTTGTTCGTATGTAGTCGAGTCCCGAACAAGATTAAATGGGCATCCATCCCACAGCTGTTTTCATTCACTGGCTTTCTCTCATAGAGAAAATTTAGTTTTACATCAAGATAATTCGCTTTTAGTAATAATTTTCTCTGTTCTCAAAGATCCCTAATCTTTTCGCTGGTTATTGCCTTGATATCAACGTATACTTTGTACTTACAATGTGCACATATTCATCAGCGGAGGTACATATAAAACTTAAGAAATCACATCAATAATATGTATTCTTTATGTGTATTTTTTTTCCCAATTTTCCCGTCTTTCGATTATAATATGCTAGATATTTCTTCATTATCTTTCCTCACCTCAAGAATACTTGCAATAAATTTCACTCCAATAAATTTCTTTTCCAAGAAAAATACCTGACTTCTCTTTGTATCTAGAGGAAAGCATATTCAAATCGTTTCGCGTCTTGTAAAGAATTAAAGTGAATACCATAAATAATTTCCTTAAAGAAATATCCGAGGAAGTTATTCAAGGTTTTTTTTTTAAATCTATGTACTCCATACGTCTTTGTGTACAGAAACCCTTAGTGTATCTTACAGGAATTTTAAGAATAAATTAATACCGAACCAGCTGTCTTTTAGTTGGAAGAGAAATCTGAGGCCCTCGCGCTCTGTCTCTTTGAGCTCTAGAATTGTTTGTTGAGTTTGGATGCCGTAAGCGAGGCCATAAATGATTGTATAATATTTCATACAAACAAGCGACGCACATGATAATAGAATCAGAAATTCTGCAGCTTCATAGATCCCTCATGGGAAGATAAATAAGCTACCTCAAGGTCTGGTATGTTTATCTACATGTCAGCATTGATATCTAATCTGTTGTTCAGCCTGATCTGACGAATATGGATTATTTT